GAAACAAGTTTAGGATAATATTACTTGTTGTTGTCTACCATAGCGTTGTAGTTATATACAATACCAGGTAGAAAATTATAGGCAAGCCGAGAAGCGAATGAAAGGGAGAACGAGTGCGAGAATGTCATGGAACTGAAAGGGAGAGAGACAGAGAGAGAGAGAGAGAGAACAGAGTGTGAACGATGAACGAGTGTGTGTTAATAAGAGAGACGCGAATGAGAGGAGAAAGAGAGAGGGAGAAAATTTGATGCAATTGACGAGCGTACATGTTATTATTACGTAATAGCGATTATATATATATTCACATATATATGTACTGTACATATACCTATGTGTATATATATACATACTCGAGAAAGCTGATTACTTAAGAGCAACAACAACCAAGAGGAGAAAACAAAAAAAAAAAAACAAAAAAAATCAATGATTAACATTATATACAGAACTCTATACATATAAACTTTAAAGAACGTGTGCCTATGTGCGCACGTGCGTACGCGCGCGTACGTGCGGACACTCGACAACCCCGAATCCACCCGGTTCCTACCTCCTGCTCAACAACCAACCACCCTTCTCTCTACAGCCTCCCCCCCCCTCTCTCTCTCTCTTTTCTCGACATCCATCCCTTCTTTTCCCTCATCTATCTATCCATCCATTCATTCATCCATTCTTCCATCTATCCATCTATTCATCCAACTTTCGAACCTTCCACCCTCTCTTTCTCTCTCTCTCTCTCTCTCTCTCTCTCTCTCTCTCTCTGCCTTTGTCTCTGTCTCTCCCTCCGTTCTACTTCACACGCACTTGCGCACATATCCATGACGCATTACCGTAGCCGTGTTGTGTAGGGAATGTCTTTAACGAATAAGATACGATTTCTCATGTTACATGTTATAAGAAGCAAAAAGAAAAAAAAAAAAAAACGAAGCAGCAAAAGTAACTTCAAAAAAAGAAAAAAAAAATAATAATAATAACGAGACAAATCTCTTCTCCGGTCAGTTGCAGGATCGCTCGAACGTTGTTGAATCAATAACCCTGTAGACGGTTGTCGTGTTGTGTCAAAAAGAAAAAAGAAACAAAAAAAAAAAAAGAAGAAAAAGTAAAGAAAAACAAAGCGAAATAAAATGGAGAAGAAGAGAAAGGCGTGACACGAGAGGAAAAGGCGAAGGGAACTTTCGTTGAGGAATGTACGCATACACTCTATACATTACAAGTTGTTCGTATTCATTATTATTGTTATTATTATTATTGCTACGATTATTATAATTATTACTATTATTGCTACAGATATGTGTATATATGTATACATGTATAGCAGTGTGTATATACATATAGACACGTATTAGGCGTGTTTTGCCAGCCGCGGTGTTCCTTTATTCGTGGCTCAACTTTTTTCTCTCTTTCCACCCGACTCGTTTGCTGTGCCAGCCAGCCGACGATCGTGCTTTTCTCGTCAGAAAAGGAAAATCTGCAACAAACCGATATACGAGATATACGAGAAAATGAAAATGCGATTGAAAATGGCTATCGTGATAGATTGATCGCATTCGATCGTTCGTCATTTACCTTTGTTGCCTCCCTTGGCAATCGAAGATATTTTTCTTTTGAAATAACACAAAATGTTAGAACACTTCGATTGTTTCATTCTGCATTCAAAGTCCAAGTGATCATCGGAATATTCGATGTCCCGCTCGTTTGAGGCGTCAGTCCATAAAAGTATATATTTCTCCAGGGGATACCATCGCGCAATGGTGCACGTATCTTTAGAAAAGTTCCTTTGAAATCACTCTTCAAGTTCTTCAAGTTACTTTCGCTTATTTCGCCGTTTCAATTGTTATTATTATTTCCCTTGCTGATTGAAAAACGCTTCGTACTTTGATCTATTTGCGATTCGTTGCTGGTTTTTCCCCTGTGCGAATTGTACGATGAAAAATTTCTAAAAATGTTCTGTTGTTTCGCTTGATTTCGCATTTAATTTCATTGTCTGAATTTATTTCGAATATATATATATATAAAAAAAAAGAAAATATATTTTCTTGGTTACTCGAGGAAAATTAAATCAGAGTTAATTAGTTTAAATATTAGTCCCGGTAAATGAGGAACGTCGAGTTATCAGGATAATCGCGATCGAACCGTGAAACGAGAAAAAGAAAAAAAAGAGGGGGAAAAAAGAGAGACGAGAGGATGCACGATCCGCGAACAATGGATCGGATATGCAGGTCAACGATGCCAGTCAGCGTTGTGCCCAGTTTTTCCTGTACTTAACTTTGACCGAGAGAGTCCTCACGGCACGGCGTAGATGGAAAAGTCGGGCGGTGGGTTATCGATCATTAAGAACCAGATATATATGCATTATTCCGTACCAAGTACGGCTAGAGCTATTGAGTAATTTAATATAGAATTAAAACAGTCAACTGCGATTAACGGAGCACGAACGAAGAAAGGCCTGCATCGACCATCTTTCCTCTACACTTTTAACCCGATTTCCCGTTCCTTCCGAAAAAAAAGTTCCCAGTTCCCGTTATTCTAATATTCCTGCCTCCCTCTAACCCTCAACAAAAACAAGACAACATATTGTAATCTATTGTAGATTGTTGTAGATAAATTATACGGTTTGACCGTACATTGTTACTTTTTGTCGACAATATAAAATACACAGATATATAAGTAATTAACGCCTTGTCCCAGTTATTTCATTATTCGTTTGATATCGTCTTACGACGACTAAGTGATAGGAAAGAAAGAGAACTCAGTTTCAACATTCCTTAAATTGTTTTTAATCGTTGTCTGATGAAACGTAAAAAAATTATACACGGAGAGAGAAAGAACATTAAATAAGCGTAGTTTGGATACTGCATTTCAACGTACAGTAAATTATTTACAATGTCTGTCAATTTAATTAGTGAGTGATAGAAGGCATACTGGGTGAACCTACAACGTCTATTATGTCCGCTTTAACTTCAGGCTCGGTCTTCGGCAACAGGGCAGGTGGTATCGTTAATGTCTGAAAATTTGATATTGATATTATTTTTTGGAAAATTTGAAACTTGTTATTCAAACAACGTACCTTCCCGGGTGCTAAAGCTTCGTATTGGTGCCTCAATGATTGCAATTCGTAATCGCATGTCGATAACGCGCTTCGGAGTTCATAGTGTAAAACGATATCGCTCCTTAATTCGTTAAATTGTTGGCATATTTGTTCCGTGGGCGGTGGATTTAATTCTGGAAGATGATATTATCGAAGTCAAGTCTAAGAAAAATGAAATACGAAATAAATTGGATTTGAAAATACCTATGCGAAGTTCATTGAGCATTTGTTCAATACCCTTCATTTTCTTTTGACCTAAACTACTTGGCAATTTTATTCGCTGAGAACGAAGAGAAACACCGCTATTTTTAAAATCGGGAAACTTAATTCCAGCTGACTCCACTGTCTGAAAATTTACATTCTCGTTAATACTGACGCAGCTAATATTATTGACTGAATAATATTTACATAAGAAGTGTCAGCTTTGTTTGGTCTGTTTCGAGCAGAAGCTCCACTCTTTTTTGCAGGTTTCCTTTCATTCTTTCTTGGATCAGCTTGGTGATCAGCAGCTGTTATTAATTTCTGCAAATCTTGAGTCTTTCTGTCTCTTTCCTTTTTTCTTTGTTCAATCTTTCTTAGTTCTGCTAACAACATCTGCTCTTCTTCCACTTGTTCTGGTGTTCTTTCAAATAACTTCTTCAACTGTTCCTTCCTGCGTTTCTCATGTTCGGCATCAAATATGTAAACTTTGTCAGTGTGAGACTTTGCCTTTGTTAAAGCTGCACACACTTGATAATACCTAAATGATAATAACATAGATACAACAAACATAAAGGCACTAATAGAAATTATGAACTATATGCTTACTTGCCTTTCTTTCAAGTCCTCTACAGATCTTGCAGGATACTTTGTACAATCCCACCTATCTTTGATTATGATAAACCTTAGATCGAATCTCCTACACAAATCAAATAAATGATCGGTTTCTGCTCTAGTCCAACCATTTGTAACCAAATGTTGAACATATTCTGCATTGGTGTATGTTGGGATAGGAACTTTTTTATTGAACTTAGCAAAAGGATATTCCTTCCCGGCATCTGCAACTCGTCTCCAATGATGAAAAACAGCACCATCTGTTCTAGCAGGATTAGTAAATGGTGTCCACTTCCATGGTCTAACTTTTCTCATACCAAGCTTTGCTCTGACTTGTTTATATCCTTTCGCGGTATCCGTTGGAAACAACGGAGGTACATCGTTATTGTCTTTACACAGCAATGCGAAGACTTCACGATGCATGCCCTCTGGTCTCTTTGGCACTTTGTATTCATATTTCTTACGGTTTTTCTTGTCGCTGCCAATAATTGATTCCTTCGTCAGTTCACTCGTGGTAGGTACCTCGATGTCCAATATATCCCGGACATCTGCCATACTGTCAAGTTTTGACAAACTTTTGTCCTTCCTGTGTTTAGACATTTTAGATTAAGGTTATGTTACAATCCAAAGTATTCGACAAATGTATTACTATATTAAATGAATAAAGTAAGAAATTGATAAAATATGTTTAGAAAGTGAAGCTCTTTACTTATATAAATAATTGTTTTATTGTATACATACATTGTTAAATATTTTGCCTTTTCGTCACGCGTGAACCGGACCACTATTGTACGACTATATACCTCGAACTAAACACTATATAGCTAGTAACAGTAGCGACCAATTTCGTACAGAGTGAATGATTCCATTAAAGGAATGACAGGTAAACAAAAGCTCTTCTCGTTGAAGTAGACATTGACAATTCTAAGATTATGCTGATATATCAGAAGATTGTATACATTTAATTTTTTGCGTTTATAAAAAAATTCTATTTCTAACGTTTTATTTACACATGTTGCAATTCAGTTCTTTCAAAAATGACGGGTGAAACTTTGAATTGGTTTCCAAATACCAATTGAATTAGTAACTAATAAAACTCAAGTTAAATTTATAAACTTTATTCTTTCTATTATGTACAATATATTTATTATTAATTGTATTTAAATGTATAATGATCCATCCGCTGGACCTAAGTATCTCATAGAAATAAGCATCACATCAATTAATGTCCATACTCCAAGTCCTCCAAAACTGAACAATTTACCAATTCCTTCTTGCCAATGACCTAAATAAAATCTGCAACACATATTAAAAATATGAAGTATTTTTAATCAACATCTAATTGGTTAAACATGACGTACCGGTCAGCACCAAAACCACCTAATGTAATGCTCAAGATTAAAGCAGTAGACCAACGGTATCCCACAGTCCAATTGCATAATAAATTTTTCATAAATCTACGTTTTCCTAGGCATAATATATCACCATTTACTGTACAATTTGTCCTATAATATTGTCGTGGAGAAGCTACGGAGCTACAAGAATTTTTCTGATGACACTCATGCTCCCAGTGCTCAGTTTGATAGCAGTAACGACATATATACTTTTTTTGAAAGAACTGTTCACCCTTGAAGTTTAATATATCAACCTATATAAATATACGTCGTGTAAAATAGTAAAGTATACGATCGTGTTACTTACAACACAATCAATATTCTCTAAAACAGAACAATTAGCAACATATACAGCTCCATATACACAATTGGGATTTAAATTACATTTCAAACAGTCTCCACTTAATTCTGAACAAGCGACACCACTTGGACATAGTCTTGAAATTTCTTCCTATTGTAACATTGTAACTGTTTCAGCAAATTCTTCTTTTTTGTAATTAGAACAACGTAAATTTTATCTTACCTTTGTACTACTATATGCTGGTGTTGAGTTTACGTTTGCCTCTTTTTGTGCATATTTGATTGCACTTTCTATAATTAAATTTATATTAATATCATTTGCAAGTTTGTTTAAGAATAATTTTTACAAAATACTTAAATTTAAATGAATTATAAATTTACCATAACCCATATGAGCCTGTTTGATAGTTGTCGAGAAAATCGCCAATAGAATAAAAATCACATTTCTCGAATTAATTCGTACAACATTCATTATGAATATTATTTAATTAATCGAACCGATGCCTCTCGCATGGAAAAATTCGATGATTTTTCAATTATTTACATTTGAAAATATAATAACGTTCTGTCCACTCTGCCAGCTTGTTTGAAATTCGAGAAAAATTTCACTTGCCCCTAATTAAAAACTGATCTTGTAAAATAATTGTAACTTAAAAAATAATTGAATTTTCTCCCGATCAAAACAAAACAACGTGATTCTAGGGACTAACGATCTTGGATTTTTTTTACATTCATTCTTTTGACGTTATCTAAATTCCTAGATAATGTTCCGCAAGTTACATCTTAGATGGGAAAAAAACCACTTTGTCACTTTGCAACGAATTTTTTTCACAGATTAAGATTATCAATGTTGGCATTATTTTATCGTGGCATTTGAATACTTATACATAAATTGTATCAATCGTCTTCTATTATTAGAAATATTCGATTTACTATCAGGTATACAAATAGATATATAAGTCTACGATTGGCTGATACTTTCCTCAAGCTGTAAGAGTAGATTATTTGTTATTAGGATGATTCCTGATTTAAAAGAGGCTCTATATAGTATTTCCTTTCAGGGAAATGATAGACATATCGGAGCATGCAAACGCGTATGATAATATTTTGTAAATATTGAAATTTTAATTATTTTACTAATGTAAAGACAAGACAGGAGAATTTTCTTTCAATGTCGTTTGTGTTCGTAGGAATAAAACCGATGTGAAATTACCATCTAATGTAAATGATTAAATAAGCTACTCGCAAGAGAAACGTGCAGAAAATAACAAACTTGTGTGTTAGTTACGTTTGTTTCTACTAATCAGCTGACTTCCGGAACTAATACGAGAGAAAATGTTAGTGAGGCCTTTCATTCTTTTCACTTGACAGAATAGCATACTTATAAGCAAACAAGTTTTTTTATTTAATTTTTAATTTCGTGAATCAAAGACTGATACAGTTAGCGAATTGCAATTTGAACGTGCTTGAGAAAAAAGTAAATGATAAACTTTGTATAATTGTGAGATACTGTTAGATAATAATTTGAAGGTAAATAGCATTCGTGAACACATTTTTATTATGTACAGTATTATAAGTCAGTTGCAACAACTCATCATTTGACACAATTTTCCAACTGTACATTAACAAATAAAAAAAAATTATCTACAGTTAATGATATTTTGATACAATATATTTATAATTCAAAGTAGGCAAACAAAATCATTTTAGTTCATTTTTTAATAGATAACTTGCTGCTACCATCTTAAAAATAATATGAGTTCTGAAGCAGGTACAAGTAACAGTCAGAACAAAAATGAAACAAGATTAGATGAAAGTTTTAAACAAAATGGTACTCAATCGATTGAACAGTCGATTAAATCGTCTAAAGTTATACAACTTGAAAGCAAATTAAATGGAGATCAAATGAAATTAAATAACAAACTGGGAGACAACAGTGCCAAGAATCATTTGTCTTCAAAAGCTTCAGTTACGTTTGCGAATGGTACAAGATCTATGCAAACTAATACATGCAATTTCACCAATAGTACGGACCAAGATATAAATCAAGATATATTGAATGCAAGTGTATCTCCCATGTTTTTGAATACTAACAACATCAAGTCTCAAACTTTGAATACCGCTGTTACAAGTCAATTGAAGCATAAGACTGTATTGAGCACGAGTGCTTTGAACTTGCCTAAGCCTCCGATGAACTTGAACTTATCTTCCAGTCAAAATAATACACATACAAATCATTGTATATCAGGTTCTTTTAGTACTGGCACTACATCAAATGCTACTTTGTATTTAAATAATTCGGTACCAGTTTCATCTACAATACAGTCAAATTTGTCAATAGCTAAACCAAATGAGGATATTGATATGAAAAATAATGTAGATTATGTTTCTGGAATTGAAAAATGTCCGTCAAAAGTGTCATGCAGTTCAGATTCTAGTCCTGAAGTGGATAGTGTCTGGGCATCAAGATCCTATGGATCTAATAGCTTGTTAAATAATATAGGTGGTAGTATAGGTTCAACAAGTCAAGGAACATGTTGTTTTTTAAGACCTAATATTAATGGGAATAAAGAGGTAGCAGGACCAAGTGGATTACAAAAAGTGAGTTTTATTACTATAATATATATATATGAAATACTTATGGATTACAATATAATTAATATTATTTTAACAATATAATCTGTACATTTGTTAACTAGAATACACAAAGAGAACAAAATGAAAGGCGAGATTCAAGTTCTGGAAATGAAGGAGATATGTCAGATGGAGAAGATTATTGTATTTATACATATAAAGGAAATGATGACGCAGTACGTTTAATTCAAGAGGAAGAAGTAAATCAAGGACAAGTGGAAGAACGTGAGGAAGAGCAATGTCACAGTGGTAGATCAAGTCCAGAGATGGACTTTTTGGAAATGGATTTTGATCCTGGGCCTTCTTGTGAACAGGTATTGAATTATGATGATGAAATTGCAACTCACTTGTTACATTACTATTACATTACTATTACATTAATATTTTTGATATAGGATACAGGAGATAGTGATTTGGCCTCTATAAATGAAGATATACAGAATATAGCGTTAGATAATGTAGATCCAGATCCAGTATTAAATGACTTAAGTAGCGGTAAAGTTGTGGCTAAACAAGGAATTGCATCTACATCTCAAAACCCAAAGCAAAGTGTACAAAATGTGAATAATACAGAGACTCAGCAATGTTCCAGCAGTAATTCTTCTGTTCCTGAACCAAGTATAAAACCAAATTATCCATCGCCATGGATGCCAAGTACCAGCAGTGCAGCAGGTACATTATTGTGTTATTTTAATATATTATAATTATGATATTATGTTTGTTCAAATCGTTATATTAAATTATTGATTTGTAGGAAAATGGGAAACTAACAAAATATATCGCAATACGAGATGTCCTCTGAGGGAATCATATGGATATCACAGTACAAGTGGAGATCTTATTTCACCAGGTGATAATAGAGATTCAGATGCGGAATTGTGGGTTGAATCTTCATCAGCTTCCGTTCCGGAAAATTCAAATTTAAACTCTCGGAGAGTGAATCTCACTTCAACTCTTTATCATCGTATGATGGCAAAGAAATTGATGCTCAATAAGCAAGCTGCATTTAATCAGAGTGGTGACTCAAATCTAGTTAATACAGCTTATTATAATTTGATATATTATTCTTAAGTGTAATTATGATCATTTACATAAGTGTAATTTATATCCACACAGGAAAACGAATTATCAAATGAACGATTAGATGGCCTTTTACCGGTTGAAAAAATCATGTTATGGAGCGAACAAGAAGCCACAGTGAAACAAGTAACTCAAATAGGAACTTCTGCGTGTGGTGCTACTGCTGCGATAAATGCTTTGGTATTATTTGATATTAAATATTTATATATCATCTCAATATATTTTGATTAATTTTTAGTAAATTAATTAATTAAATGATGATTTTTATAGTTGGCTTTAAATGTACCATTTTCATTAGAAACATTAATAAAAAGTGTAAACACTAGGCAAAGAGAGCCCGGTACACCATTACCGCGATATTTATACAGTCGATCAGTGGCTGGATCGACGCACAGAGATTTGGCTCGTGGTATAGCTTTATGTACAAATGGATCAGTTATAACAAAGTTTTTTGCGTTTTATCCTGAAAAAAAGGTTTCATTGTCTCATTGGTTACACTATTGGATATCAAAAGGTATGTAACTGTATAATAAAGTATGTATGAGAACAATGTAGACATCCCAGTGTATTTCAGGTGCTGCGCCTATAGCAACGCTAAATTTGCAACATTGTGGAGAAGGATGTGATATTCCAGATGCGTGGCACCATCAAATGATATTTGGTGTAGGACAAGCAGGGATTTATTTAACTAATCCATTAGAATGTTTGCCTGAACAGGTTGGTCATGAGTGATATATGTTAATCATTTAAACAATATATATATATATAAATTTTAATTATTCGTAGTACGTTTGGCATCAACTTGTAAGTCCTAGTATTTTACTGGTACGAAGAGCGGATGTTTTAGCACATTGGAATCCGAATACCGATTTAACACCACTGGCTGCTATGGATCAAAAGTGGCGAAAACTCAACGTTTTTGGTATGTTTAGTATTTGTATTAATTGGAAATCAATATTATAAAAATAAACAACATTATTCTTATTTATTACTAGGTCAAGTTGTAAATATGGTACGCGAAGCAATGACCCAGAAACGCCAACTTAATAATCTGACTACTGGTGTAACTCACATTCGTATACCTGCATCTTATCAAGCAGGTATTACATTAGTTATGTGTGCAGACTCTGCCGCTGCTTCTGAATTGTTACATACCGAACAATTACCATTACTCTAGTCTTGTTGATCAAAATTAATAAATCCAGGCTGCCCGTTTTTATTTGTAATAAATTTGATTAGCAGGCTGGTCCGCACAATGTTATTTACAATAGCTCGTTTATTGAATAAGACAGTTGGGGTCATACTTGAAACGATTTACATTTTTAACGCAAAAGATGTTTGTATTCAAAGAGAATATTATCGATTAAAATATATTTCAATAGAATATTTCCGTTTTATATGCAGTTATATTTATAAATTCATACATTAAAAAAATGTCAACAACGTTAAAAAAGTTTTGTGGCGAAATATCTTTTTTACACATAATATCAAGTACATTCTTTAAATATTAGATATGGTAAAGGTAAGTATTACTTTTAATTTAAAGATTTAACACTTTTTATTTTTGAGGTTTTTTTTCTTTTTTTAAATTACATTTTTATTCATTTTTTCATTTTTATTCTTTTTTTTCTTTTTTTAAATTACATTATTATTCAATAAAAGAATGGTCCATGATAGAACTTAATAATAGATTTCGGATACATTTTCTTATAATTCTAAATTACTTTGTGTCGGAATTGTACAGAATATGTATTTAATGTTTTAATTTGACTGTAGCAGTAACGTTGAAAACAGTATTATTTTGTGCAGTACTGACATAAATATCAAATTTATGTACACATATATAGTCTACTGTTAAACATTATTTTTATACTTTTCCAGACACTTTTGCTTTAAGACATACTGAAATAAGGAAAAAATATTAATTAATATTATATCCGAGTAACATTATTCAAATTTAATGTACATTACCTTTCTATAAGTGATGCACGCATAGTTGATGCGATAGCAGCTGGAGAAGCGTCATTAAGTTTAAAAACACTTTCAATAACTGAAAGTTCTGTCGAAGTTGTATCCATACCACAAAAAGCAACCCAATCGTTTACAACCATCCCTGCAGCTATAACTTCACTGCCTCTATTTACTGTACCTGCCTGCAATATATTTCTTTGTCTTTATATTCTACTTCTTCATCTTTTACACTTTCTAATCTTTTACATATATGAAATCATCTTACAGCAAGTGGCACTTGTAACAGAGATGACAATTCATCTTGATCCTGTATGGATGTTTTTGGATGTACCAAACCACCTTGATTTGACAATACAGAATAAGAGCCTACCAAAACGTTACCAGCCACAGTTTGCCTAAATACTTCTACATTCAGTGTATCAGCTAAAATTTCTTCCGTTTCCTATGAAATAACATCAATAATAAGTATCATTGAAGAAAAGAAATTGACATTATATCTTAATATGATACTTGCTCTATCAAGATCTGGATGTACTAATGCAACATGATCGTTACAGGAAATAACGTTACCCAGAGCAGATAGCCTTTCCTCGATTCTTTGTACTTTAACCTTATCTGGCAGAGAATTTCGTATGTGCTGCAGTTCTGTGTCTGTTGTCGTGTGCGGGACTAACAGTCCGTTTTTGTTACCTGTTTCATACTTGAGCGTTTATCTAAGCACAATTGATTTCATAATTGAGAGTTACAACTCTTACCAACGCATAATCGGCCAATTATACGACATCCTCCAACGGACGCGTGAATTACAGGTATAGTTTCAGCTAATTCCGCCTCAAATACACTGTAATAACCAATGATATTTGTTTTATAAATTGTATGTTACAAAATGTGTTACAAGAAAATATTAAGTTGTTTGAGAAAAACAATTACATGATATTGCACAACGAGCGGAGATAAAGCAACGATGTTTACCTGTAAAAATTCTCGGAACCACCGATCGCTACCAAGCAATAGGAATTTGTTAATTTCGAGAATACACCTACTTCGTTGTTATTCTCGAACTGTACACGTACCGACATGATTAGAAATTTTCATTAACGTGTCGCGATTTGAACAGAAATTTTGAAACTATTAATGTTATGTTGTTAAGATTAAACACGTTAAACCGTATCTCGCACGGTTTACTCTTGAACGCTACACGAGGTTTACGTTATATACGTGGCTTTATGAATCACGAGATATATATTAATTAAATAAATACCTAGAAAGGAATGCTGCCTGATAAACGATAAGCTATTGTCTGCCCTCTGGCGATCAAACGTAGCAACTGGCTGCTCTCAAAATTTATCACGAAGTATCCATCCTATGTAGTAGCTTGTTGACCTATGGTAACGTGTAACGATTTGAAACGCGTCTTTTAAAATATCTAATAGTTGTACCATTTAATGTGAAAGAGATAAGATAAAACGAAGCAATTACTCCGCTAAAAATATATTTAATATATTTTATTACTTATCTAGAGCAACTTAACTAACATTACAGCAGGTGAACATTACTTACGTTTTCTTAATGGCAATGGTATAAGTATAGAATCAGCAATTAGTTCTCTCCAATCAATATATTGTACAACTTCTTATAGAAACAGCATCACTAATACAGTACATCAGAATGAATTTAAACAAAGTGGAGAACAAAAGTGAAATAGCTGACGTCTTAAACTCGTACATGGAATCAGGTATCATATCATTCAGTGCTTACAATTAACGAAGACAAGATGATGTTTGCACAATTCCTTTATTGAAAGTCTTTTAATAATATCGGCAGCAGTTATGCGGAAAATCAAATGAGAACAGAATTTTCAAATGAATCGTTTTCGTTGAGTGACTTTTCGAACGTTCGTTAGTACGTTAAGTTGGTACTCATCGTTCGCATAACATTAACAAAACTGCAAGTAAACTGTTGAAAATCATCGCTTTATTAACAACATTGTAGCAAGCTTTATAAATATCATTCGGTATAGCTTTCATTTTGATTTTTCATACCGGTGTTGTAGAGATCGTTTTTGTTGGAACATATTGGCAGTATTATTTGCGCGAAAATGACTCATGAAACATATTGGCAGTATTATTTGCGCGAAAATGAATTCTTCACTATGAAATCTATCGATTAACGTTGAAAGTCACGATATTGTCGGGGTCTCGCGTAATCTTAGTATTATCAACGCCGACAATACCAACCGAATGGCGCTCGTTCAATGTTCTTGTTCGTTCGAGCGATAATCTCCGTCGAATCAGTACAGGAGAGGGAAATTTGTCGCGCGAAAGAAAGACGAGCGAAAGAAAGGGAAACTCGGAACGAAGATTCGTTGACTGAGAGCATCGATCGACGATGCGAAACGTTTCACTTTGCGTTGAGTATTTTCTTTCTGGTGAATCGTACGAACGAAATAGGGAGAGAGGGAAAAGGAGAGAAAGAAAGAGAAAGAGAGAGAGAGAGAGAGAGAGAGAGAGAAAGAGAGCGAATTATACGTCGATCTCATCAGTTTTTGATTGTATGCCATTTTTCAGTCTCGTCCTATCGATTCTTCTCCCATTTCCGTCTTTATCATCTTCTTCGTTTCTCCACGTTTGTTTTCAGCTGCCCGTAGGACGCGCGCATGTGTGTGCGATCAATTGTGTGTACATCAATAGAAAATAGAAATAGTAAAATCTTCAGTTGTTCGAGCTCGGCTTGAACGTCGTGTACTGCGGCGGCTTCTCGATCTTGCAGTGGGGCTTCAGGGTTGCTAAACGATCTGGTTTGAGAAACAGCTGCTCCCCCTGCACAATGTTCATCTTAAGGATCTTAACCCACTAAGGACCAAGAAGCGGTGAAGTAATGCAAACAAGTTGCGCGAACGCAACATTACTGGGAAAAGTAAACTTAGACAAATATTGCTTCGTTCAGGCACGAAAAATGGGCTAGGATAACAGATGCTTTTACAGAAGTTCGCTAACAAGAATAGTTTGATAATATATTTTTGCTTTTTTTTTTCTAATTTCACTTATTCAATTGCAGGGCCTGGATAGAAGAGATGAAATAACGACGAAGAAAATATTGAGCAAACCCTTTGGAATTTGTTTGTTCACAATCGTGTGATGACGTTGGGAAACAGAATGGAGAAAAATTGAGCAAACGAAATATTGCGTTGACGCAACGTTGTTTCTCAATGAATCTGGTCGCGTGCGTCTGGAAGCGCCAGGGTAATAAAAAACTCTACGGATATATTATATATATATACATATGCTACGGGTGATTACATGGCAATCGGGACTAATAAACTATGGAATATATATGTCTAGGTGCGGCATGTGCAAATATTTTCATACGTGAGAAAGAAACAGGGCCGTTTTATCCCTCGGATTATGATCGGCTCATTGTCCTCCACGTTATTGTTAGATACCTATTGATGCCATTCATTACGGTGCGCCAATATTGACGCGGTAATTCTGCGAAAATGATACGTTTTATTACGCAAATACGCCGATGACTAGCAAAATATCGCAACGATTGAACGGAGCAATTACCAATCGGAAATTGTCCACGAGTAAAGCGGGGCCGGAACCTTTGGCAATTGCATTGTTTCAATGGAATTTTTCAAAGGGCGTCGATACGATCGATTTTCGACATATCTAATAAGTTTCCGAATATCCGCAGTTACGCGGCAAACATTCGCGCGCGTTAATATTATCGACGTCGATGTAAATAGCGTTCCGGCAAACGTTACGAATAAATATTTAAACTAGTTTGGCAATCAAAATTTCATAAAACGTTGCAACTCCCGTTCTGATCTAAATATTTATTCTTTCAGGTTGGCTCGAAAACGAAAAATTGTGGTTTCACGTTTTATAAAACGGTCCTGGCTTCATATGGAATCTTATATCAAACGGGATATACTAGGAAAGTGAAGCAAACAGTGCTCGATGTTACGTAAACGTGTCACATACTGTACGCCGCGGTTCCAAAGGAAGCGGATTGATATTGATAATTCGTATAGGTAGGTACGTATCTGCGCGGCATGCTCGCGATCGTTTTCGCGAGGATGAAAGGAATATTACGGAGGTCTAATAACAAACGGACAAGCACACGCATCTGTATGATTATTTTTTAATGACAACATGATACACGAAAGAGAGTACTCGAAGCTCGTTCGAGCTGCTTCTACACAGAGCGTCATACAGCGTTGTTTTACGTAGATTGCTTGGTTACAGGCATGAACGAAGTTCACCGACGACGACGACGACGACAGTCTCGATACGCGAGCAGCCCGGCTAATTAATGGTTACAATGATTCTGTGCCAACGGTAACAATGATTGTGTTGTGATTGGATGAAGCGCGAATATGACGAGAGAGAGAGAGAGAGAGAGAGAGAGAGAGAGAGAGAGAGAGAGAGAGAGAGAGAGAGAGAGAGGACTGCAATGTAACAAACTGTTTCTCGAACGACCTCTTGTAAACATTTCCGCGTAA